AGAGCGGTGCTCCCGGGACACCGCTCCGCAGCGTACCGCGATTCCAACCGGCGCCCACCCGGGGCCGGAAGCAAGTCTCCTCCGCGTCGGGTTGGGGGAAGCCTCTGCGGAAGCAAGGCCAATGGACTTCCGGCGTCGGGGAGGTACTTCCGGGTTCGTGGCGGAAGTGGCGGAGGCGGTGCCATGGCAATAGAATTCCGCCGGGATTCTGCGGTCCTCGACGCCGGTTTGTCCAGGCTCAGGGTTTTTTCGCGGCGGCTCCCAAACTCTGTTTCCGAGGCCTGGGCCTGGCTGAGGGCTGAGTGCGCCCGGCCCTGCCCCTCCAGGTGAAGCTAGAAACTGATGACGGTGAGCCCAGAGCGCCGCGGGCTAGATCCACGCGGGTCTGACAGCCAGTGTGACCGGCTCTCCGCAGGCCCTAGCGGCCGGGTCCGCCTAGTTGATCTCGAGTCTCATGAGACAGATGGGTTCTCGGAATCCTATGCCGCGACTCACTCGTTCTCTCCCTCCCCTTCGTGCCGTGTTGGCGGTGCGAGGGCCTTTCCCTGGTTGTGAGAGATCTTGTGAGTGCGACGAGAGACTCAGGCCCCCCGGGCGTAGCTCTGTCTTCCCCGAAAACACCGAGTGTCCGATCCTTGGGAAACGATGATCCCACTTCTGTCCGGCAATTGACCACCCGCATCCAATCGGGGAGCTGGTGCGGTCGTTGTTAAGTCACTCCTTAAGTCACCCCAAAAATTAATGAGTATTTTCTCTCCAGTGTTTCTCAGTCAGTTCTTGGGAGTGTCCTTTTTCTGAACGAAACCGATTTATTTTAATAGAGGAGTTATTCTGGTTTGAGTTAGCGTTCTGCGCGTGCGAGCCCTGCGCCCCTAAATGTGTTGGGGTCCAGCCCCATCAGGTCCAGGGGTTCCCAAAGGTGTGGACGGAGTCAATAAAGAAGGAATGACTCAGAGACAGCCTTCAGTTGATCAGCATAGCCAGGTTTTCTCTTTATTCTCCTGTTACATCTGTATTTCTACCATTTGATCCTATAAGCATGCCTCTATAATCACATCATGGTATGTTTGGGGTCCTCCCTTGACCTTCTACAGTTCCTTGTTTCATGTCCATAGTTTCTTATCTGACCTTTGCCAAAAATCCCATCTCCATCTAGTTCTGTTGAGTTTAATCCTATCCATTCTATTCCAAAGGTTAGGGCTAGTTATCTCCATTCCAAGGTCACTACTCTACTGTTCTGTTAAACTACAAAGAAGTAACTGAAGGAGATTATCCTAAGTAAAGATTATGTAGTTTAAGCGTGATTGTTCGTAGTTAAGGTGATTAACTACCAGCCTGGCACTTAGTTAAGGGGTTTTACTGATTTTTTCCCTTCCTTAGTCCTGTTAATCCCTAACTCCAGGGAAAAATCCCCACCTGGGGAAACAACCTTTCTCGGGGAGGTGGCCTTGGTTAGAACACATAGCGCTAAGAAGGGGAGCAAACATATTAAGAACAGTATGCCGTATACTCCAGGTCCCTTGAAACATATGCTGTGCAGATGTTTCTTCCCTGCAGCAACTGTGTCAAGCAACAAGATAGACCGGCCTCTGGCATAAATGTAAGCCCTCTGATGGTGGGGACTTTGTCTTAGCTTCTATGTGACCTCTCTATGGCAGGCAGGGTTTCATGTGGAGTCAGCACTGGTAAATGTGTGGTGAACTGGACAGTTTGGTGAAAGATCTGTGCTAGAACCGCAGACTCGGCCTCTTAAAGAACTGTCCTGGAACCCCTAACCAGAATCTCATTCTTTTTCCTGCAAAATAGGAATGTCCCCTGAGCCTTGAACCTGAGGAACCACATCTGAGAACACCCTGCCTATGTCTGCAGAGTCAGCTTGGATTCCTCATGTTATTCAGGGATGGAGAGTCTTCGGCAGGATTAACTGTGTTACCACCAGCTGATGAGATGGCATCTTTGCAAAGGAAGGGGCTGCCAGCAAGGATCCTCAGCTCTGAAGAAGAGGAGAAACTGAAAAGGGACCAAACTTTAGTGTCTGATTTTAAACAACAAAAACTGGAGAAAGAGGCTCAGAAGAACTGGGATCTTTTTTACAAAAGAAATAGTACTAATTTCTTCAAAGACAGACACTGGACCACCAGAGAGTTTGAGGAGCTCAGATCATGTAGGGAGGTAATGCTACACCTTATTTGAGCTGTTGTTTCTTTATTTAAAATTTTTTAAAAATTGATTTTAGAGAGAGAGAGAAACGGCCATCCGTTGCTTCCTGAATGTGCCCTGACTGGGAATCTAACCCCACTACCTGGGTATGTGCCCTGACTGGGAATTGAACCGGCCATCTTTCCATGGACGGGATGATGTTCCAACCAAGCCACACCAGCCAGGACAGAGTGGCTGCATTGAGCATCTGCCCCCTGGTGGTTAGTATGCATCACTTAGAACATTTTTAAATGTTCTTCATTTAAAAGGTGAAGAAAAAGAGTGCTTTGTTGCATTTGTATGGAAGTGAGGTACATAATTTATGAAGCCTGTCAGAATACTTTATACCTTAGAAAGAAGTAGACTGGTTTCAAGTAGTTTTAGCAGCTCCTGGGTTGTATAATACATAGGAGAGAGCTTTCGTGGGCATTTTTGTTTCTTTAAAGCTAACCTGAAAGTTGTAAATGTTAAATTCATACTGAAGAACTTCAGTGACAGATTCATAATGATGATGCTCACTTGACCATGCCCTTTTCTAGAACTTCACATCTGTGATTTAAGCCTTGTAATAGCACTGTGAAGCAGGCATTAGTGTTAACCCCACTTACTGATGACATTAGGGACAAAGCCGTTTAACTGATTTGTCCAACGATAGAAAACAGACGTGAGGGGAGAAGTCTGGATTGAGCTGTTAATGCTGTGTTTTCTCCACACCGAACTGCCCAATGTGGGACGACAAATTGAGATGTCAGTATTAGCTTTGGGTTATCAGTTATTTATTGCCTCTGAGGGCGGAGACCTTGTCTTACATGTTCTGGACCTTTTAGTTTGGTTTATTTCTTCATTATGCAAACGTAGTGTACTCTAACTTTGGATTCTCTTTCCTCAGTTTGAAGATCAAAAATTGACTATACTTGAAGCTGGCTGTGGGGTTGGGAACTGTCTATTCCCACTTTTAGAAGATCTGAATATCTTTGCTTATGCCTGTGACTTTTCTCCAAGAGCAGTTGAATATGTCCAGGTTGGTGCACCATCCATGTATTCTCTTATGTTTCTGGTTTTTTAAATTTGTTTAACCTGCCGTTTATACCCATTTGCCCAATTTCTGTTCTCTTCCTGAAGTTGAACAGCTATGATAATAAAAAATGTAGTTTTCCATTTACATACATATATAATACTTATAGAAAGATAGCTTTATTCAGAAAAGTAGAAAGAAATACCATAACGACACCCATATACTTATACCAAATTTTTTAAAAATATCTTTTTATTGATTTTAGAGAAAGAGAAAGGGAGAGGAATAGAGAGAAACATTGATGAGAGAGAAACATTGATTGGCTGCCTCCTACTGGGGATGAAGCCCACAACCTGGCCCTGTGCCCTGACCAAGAATCGAACTGGGGATCTCTTGGTTCATAGGTGGACGCTCAACCACTGAGCAACATGAGCCAGACTGCTTATACCAAGTTTAATGATTGCCAGCATTTTGTTGAATTTGTTTCATAGACTTTTTTGTGTGTGAACTGTTTTAAATTACAAATATTTCACTGTTAAACATGTTTGCATACATCTTCAATAAGGATTTTCTCTATATGACCACAAAACACATATATAATAAAAATAACTCTAATCCCCTAATGTCATTAATACCCAATCCAGATTCAGATTTCCCCAGATAGTCCCAGGTGTTTTTTATAGCTATATTTCATCAAGGACTACATCTTATATTTCATTATGTACCTTCAGTCTCCTTAGCCTAAAATATTCCTGCCCTTCCCATTGACCCTTTTCCACACTAACATTGAGCTTTTGGAAAATGAGCCATTTTCTGTAATGAGGTCCCACATTCCAAAATGTTTCTTTGTATCATTGTTTAACTCATTCCTCTTTCCCAGTCTCTATTTGTTCCCATTCTCAAACCACATTATGTTAGTACTACACTTCTCCTTCATTATTCTTCATTTTTAAAAGTTGACTTGGCTATTCCTAAAGATTTTCACTTCCAGATTAATCAAATTTACCTTGTCAAGTTTCTAGAAACTTACTAGGATTCAGTAGAGATTGCACTGGATTTGTAAGTGGAATGATAGGTAGAGTTGGCATCTTTTCAATATTGAATCTTCCCATTCAGTAACTTTCTATGTCTTTCTCTTTATTCAGGCCCTTATTTACATTAAAGCAAAGTTTTATATTTTTCTTTATAATGTGCTTATAAAAGCGTTAAACCCACCAACCAAAGTGCACCAGGAACACACTTATAGTAAAAGAACTTAGGTTTATTTAGCTTGCTGCATCAAGGTTTAATATACCCAGGAGAACTGTGGGAGCTGGAAAGACTTCTTGTAAGTTTAGTTTTGTAGTTGATGATTCATTCAAAGGAGGATTAAGGAAGCAGAGACCAGTTTTGGATTATTATCCCTCTGGAAGTATTTGGAATATGTGATAGGCTGTATTCTCTCCTCAATTAAAAATGATTTGTTAAAAGGAAATCTTGCCCCTCATATTGCATATTCCATTCTTTAATGTGCAAATGGTTCATTACTCGTTTTACCTATAACAAAATGATCAGTGCTCTCTGTGCAGTAGTATACAAGTGGAAACAGGATCTCCTTTTGAGGCTGTATTTTTCTATATGTATCAACATGGATATGGCATTAAAATTCTTCTGTGTTTTTCCTCTCTTTAGCAAAATCCTTTATATGACACAGAAAGATGCAAGGTATTCCAGTGCGATCTAACTAAAGATGACCTTATGGAACATGTGCCCCCCGAGTCTGTGGATGTTGTCCTGTTGATATTTGTGCTCTCTGCTGTTCACCCTGATAAGATGCACCTTGTCTTACAAAACATTTACAAGGTTAGTGATTTGGAGTCTGCACTTGAGGAGTTGGACATCCCAGTCTTCTTGCTTACCTTCTCTCTGAGGCTCATGTACCGTCTAGATTGCAGAGCCCCCATTCTCATTAGGTAGGCTGTGTATGGAAAGGGATTCTGCGTGAAAAAACATCCACCCTAAACTTCGATTTGTCTGGTGGCCATCACTGCTCTTCAGAGCTTGGCCAGCCTTGGAGCAAGGATGATTTTTACCTGGGATCTAGGGAGTCCTGCTGTAAAGTGAGAGGAAATGTGGTTCATTGATCAGGAGCACACAGTCAGGAGTCACAGTGTCTAGAGTCAAAATATGGCTTCCCTATTTAGGTAAGTTCCTTTATTTCTCTGAGCCTCAATTTTATTACCTGTAGAAATGTTGAGATAATACTTCCTAGATATTGGGATTGGGTGAGAATATATGAAATATGCATAAAGTGCTTAGCATGATGTCTAGAACATATTAAGTGTTCTTTAAAAGTCGGCCATTGTTGTTGTTACTGCCATCATTGCTATTCATATGGGGAGAACCCAAAGTCCTATGGCCACCAGGAGGCCTCAGTACTCAGGAAGTAAAGCTTCACGTGTAAGTCATACAACTGAAGGTAAACCATCTCATCTCCCTTCTCTAGGCCTCAGTTTCCTTGTCTGTAAAACAGGGTGTCTCACTCACAGAGTTATCATGAGGTGCAGGTGAGATTATGTGTGAGGGTACTTTGTAAACAAGGCTCTCTAATCTATACAATCAATTGGTAATGATGTTGATTAATTTAAAAAATCAACAAAATCAAGAAATTCTAAAAATGGTAAATTCTTTTTTTTTTTTTAAAGAGTTCTTATTTTTTAATTCTAATGTTGTATTCTTCCAGATGTGTTTAGGAATCTTTTTTTTTTTTTCAAATATAAGTCTTTAATACATTCTAAATATTTTAATGTATTACTTGAAACTGTGATACATTTTGAATCTATATTATTGACAATTTTTTCAGTACTACAGTGGATTTTCCAAACTTTAACTTGTCATATACAAAAACTGAGTTTGAGTCTCCATTCTGTTTTATTGGTTCATTTGTCAATATTTATATTAATATAAAAATGGTAAATTCTTACTTTAACCCTTTGCAATCCAATTTTATTTTTGGAATTCAAACAGTCTGGTCCAAATTAACTGACGGGATTGAATGTTGAACCGGTTTGCAGTGTCTCAGCCTCGACGTTGGACCTGCTCCTAGCGCCTGGTCATGGACCGAAAAGGGTTAAACATGTTATTGTAACTTAAAATATATTAATATTCATTTGTCACTCTTTAGATGTAGAGCCAAGGCCTTTTCTTTGAGTTTGGGACCATTTGTCATCTTTTTTACATGAGCCACACATAAAATAGAGTTTGGTTTCTTTAAAAATGGATCAAGAACTTAAAAGCAATTGGAAAGGAATCTGGAACAGAGTCTCTTACATTCTTACCCAGACTTTCACAGTTGACTCTCACACACCTAATCAAATAGCAGTTTGTTCAGTACTTCTTTATCAAATCTTCCCAAAGTATTCAATGTACTTTTCATAGAAAATAAAAATGCTTTCTATTCACATTTATATTACAGTAGAGCCCCGGTGCACAGATTCATCCACCGGTGAGGTCCCTCAACCTGGCCTGTGGGGATTGGGCCGAAACTGGCTCTCTGACATCCCCCGAGGGGTCCCGGATTGCAAGAGGGCAGTTCTCGGGTGATGCACCTCGGAATCGGGCTCCCTCCTCTCTGGTTTCAGGTGCGTCACTGGAGAACCGCAGCTGCTAAGTCACCGCAGCTCTGCAGCTCCTGCGTTGAGCGTCCGCCCCCTGGTAGTCAGTGCGTGTCATAGCTACTGGTCAGAGCATCTGCCCCCTGATGGTCACTGCACATCATAGCTACCGGTCGGACGGTTGGAAGGCTGCTTAGGCTTTTATATATATAGATTGTTTATATACTCATATCTATATATATAAAAGCATAATATGCAAATCGACCACACAGCTATGATGCGTACTGACCACCAGGGGGCAGATGCTCAAATGCAGGAGCTGCCCCCAGCCTGCAGGCCCGGATCGCCCGATGGGGAACGGGGAGCCAGAGGTGGGTGGCAGCGAACGAACTCGGGCGGCGCCGGGGCCCCGATCGCCCCACCAGTTGCCCTACACACAGGGTGAGGGGCGAGGCCAGCTGCCAGCAGCCAGGGAAGATGGGCCCTGATTGCAGGCCAGGCCTAGGGACCCTACCTGTGCATGAATATTGTGCACCAGGCCTCTAGTATAATTATAAATCTAAGTTCAATCAGCACAAACAAGTTTGGGAACAAACACAAGTGACCAGTGGTAATTCTGCAGCCAACTCACCTGGGGACACTAAAGTACAAGTGTGCATGATCTAAAGCCTGTAAGCTTCACCTATTCAGTGAGTCCTGGGCTTCAGTCGATCTGCTCTACAAAGGGAGAGGAGAGCATTCAGCAAGTTGAAAGGTAGATGCTAGGTATGACAGCATTTGTGTATTTAGAGCTAGTTATACATTAAAATTTTACCCTGATTTTAGTTGTTTTAAAAGAGTAGTGAGGTAGAAATTTTAAGAAACTTGAAACCTGTTAGGGAATAATTATTTGCACTTAAAACAATATTTAAAAAAAATATTCAGATATTGCCACCTTGGTTTTAGCCCTCTGAGGTTTTGTAAGGTTTTTTTTTTTTTTTTTTCTCCTTAACCTTTCCTTTCCCCGTTCCTGGTATCTGAGCAGATGGGAACCTAGCACATACCAATAAATGGGCATGGAACTTAAGCTAGGTAAACAGGGAGGAGAGGACATTAGGGAAGAGATAGTGGGACCACCTGATTTGAAGGTCCAGATGAGGGTGAAGGATTATTAAAGATGGGGAACTAGAGAGAGAATAAGATGGTGGGGATGGTCAGTGAATGACCTGGATGACTTTGAGAATATGGGGAGGTTATACACTTTAGTGCTGACAAAACTTTAGGACATTATCATGGGAGTGAGTGGGTTAAGCAGGGTGGAGGACACGATCTTTGAAAGAGAAGCCAGCATATTTGGAAGGATAATGCACATGTGTATTGAATTGACCAGAATTAAGAATGGAATAGTATTGAGAATAAGAGAGTAAACCCAAAGATATATTTGTCATGAAATGAAGGGATATGGCCATGGAACTAATAGACATTGGTATCAGTAAGGGATATGGGTGATACAATCTGATAACAAGAGATTCAGAGCTGGGGGTTTCAGGGAGGAGGAAGGAGAATGCACAGAAAATAGCAATGAGGAGCAAGGGAGGAAACCAGCTAGGTCTCCCAGCCCAGTGGTACAGGATAGTGGGAGAAAACACAGCCATGACTTGAGAGGTTGCAGGGAAAAGTGTCATCGGGACTGAGGTTTCTTTGAGCACAAGAATGAACAGAACGTTCAGAAGGGGTTACGGATACTGGTGATTTCACTGATGAAGGCTTCAGGTGTTAAGTAGCAGTTAGGGCAGAATATGGAATATCAGGAACTTTATGGGGCTGAGGGTGCCCACTACCAATACTTCTCATCATTATGCAGAGGTCCTAGTCAGCGCAAAAAGACAAGATTTGAGGATGAGAAAGAAACAAAACTTACTACTTTCTGATAATATAATCATCTAATTAAGAATATATTAAAATAAAATTTAAAAAATATATATTAAAAGAATTACAAAAGCTATTGTAAGGTAGATATAATTACTCCAGGATGTTAACACCAGAGAAATTTTAAAAACCACATAATTTTAAACTGAAAGAAAACCTTTAAGTTGAATTACCTCATTTTTGGAATATAATGGTGAAGTAAAAGTAGACCAAATTTGTCATTGGAAGATTTGGATTTTGTTCTACCTGTGCCACCAACTTGCCTTGAAAACTCAGGCAAATCATTTTATTCTGAGTCTAAGTTACTGTAAAGTGGGTATAATAGACCTAACCTACCCACTTCTTGGAGTTATTGGGGGAGTAAAAGAACCTAACATTGGGAAATGCCTGGTTTAACTATACAGTGCCGTGACTAAAGGAGGCATGAGTATCATAATTATTATTTTACAGACGAGAAAACATACACAGAGGCATGAAATTACTTGCTCAAGGTCCTTCAACTAGTTAATGGAAGAACTATGATATGAATCAAGATTTTCAAATTCCTGAGTGAGTGCTTTTTCCACAGTCCCGTATAGCATTCTTTTCTTCTGAAATGGAGAATAAGTCTTTCTCATATGAGCTAATTTTTTCAGAATTTTTCCCTCTTAATTATTCACATTTTAAAACTTAGCATTTTTGACCAAGGTAAGAATGTTTTTATCCAAGAGCCTCTTTACTGATAATAGTTAAAATGCATGCTAGTATTGATAAGAAATTGCTAAATGAGGGAATCTGCTAGCACACTTGAAAGTATTATGGACAATACTTTATATTCTATTCAGAAAGAAGAAATACATCAAACTATGTCAAATATCTATTATAATAGGTAGTATATGTCATGTCTTAATTACCTTGTTGATGTCATGGGTCAGAGTAGGAGTTAATAAAATCAGTGCCCCCTTTGAAGTCCACTCTAATTTGGTAATATTAACGCAGTTTGAAAGAATTTTCACATAAAAGTGTTACAGTGTGTACCACTTTCTCTTCATCCTGAAAGCATATGGTTACTTGCTTTGTAAGATAGGAGCAGTTATACCCACTCCCTGCTGATCTTACCTTCCAGTTTTTGAGACACCCACCCTGTGATGCCTATCTCTGAAAGGCTGTAGTGAGGGTTCCCACTGGGCCTGACATTGAACCCCTTCCCTACACTCCTGCACTTGCCTGATCCACTCCTCACAGCGTGGGAAGAATACTCCTCCCCTCGTAGCCCCTCTTTTCTTGTCAGTAGTGTCAGTGGCATTGGAATGACCGCCCATTGGAATGACCCCCCCCCACCCCGCCACACACACACACACACACACACACACACACACACACACACACATCCAAGGGCTAACATGCCTTTTGACCCAAGTGTGAGTCCTGACTCCCCCACTTAGTAGCTGATGTGTGATCGTAGGCAAATCACTTACCTCTGCTGATGTCCGTTTCCTCATCTCACGTGAGGATAATAATCACACTCCTTCCTTCCTCTCAGAATTGGGTGAAGATCCAATGAGACAATGTCGGGTAAGCTGTACAGGGCTGGGCATATGTCAGGTGTTAGCATGGTGGGGAAGCCGTCCATAGTTGTAGCACAGTGAAACCAGAGCTGAGACTCAGAATGAGGAAAGCCAGCCAGAATCAGTAAAAGCCAAAATGACATATTTTTTTAAAAGAGATAGTTTGACTACTGGGTCATGTGCTAGGACAGTGGTTGGCAAACTGCGGCTCGCGAGCCACATATAAATTTTTTAAATTGATTTTAGAGAGGAACAGATATATTGATTTGTTGTTTCAAAATACCACGTGCAGGCGCATATGTACAGTGCGATTGAAACTTCGTGGTCCATGCGCAGAAGTCAGTATTTTGTGGAAGAGCCACACTCAAGGGGCCAAAGAGCCTCATGTGGCTCGCGAGCTGCAGTTTGCCGACCACTGTGCTAGGAAATGGCTAATAAAACGTTGGAAGAACATGCCTTCATGAGGATATGACTATTTCGTTTAATATCTTTAACATTTTAATTGTGTGACACTGGACCTTCCGGAATGCTTTTGTAAGTGCTCAGGAAGTGTCCCTCAGTGGGCACACTGCCAGGCCTGGCTGCAGCTTAGATTAGCAGGCCCTTTTCCCTCCATATTATGGGGATTTCAGTCTCACCCCTTTCCTAATTATCATAAATGTAAATTTAGTCTCTAAATTAATCAGGTTTTATTTTAGCTTGAATCCATCTCTATAAAGCTTTATTTGACTGGGTTCCCCAGAATTATATCCAGCCTGCTTTTGATTTGTAGGTATTGAAACCAGGCAAAAGTGTCCTGTTTCGTGACTATGGACTATATGATCACGCCATGCTTAGGTTTAAAGCTGGAAGCAAACTTGGAGAAAACTTTTATGTTAGACAAGATGGAACCAGATCGTATTTTTTTACTGACGGTAAGATTACTGGACTCTGTCTTTATTTGTGTTTAATTGATTGCGTTATCACTGTGTTACTGGTTGGGATGGTGATGGCTGTACTTAGCACACATGCCAAGCTCTCTGACACGTGCCCCTTACCTAGAACCTAGGATGACATAGACACAGCCCGTGGCTGCGGTGAGCTCACCTCCTCTGGTGATGGTGTCTAGTGACCTGGGTTAACGGACAGGCTGGCGTGCCATGTGGATACCCTACCAGAACTGTGCTGGGAAGGGGGGGCCAACTCAGGGTCTTCTTCACTTTGTTCAGTCAAAAATAAAGGAAATAGGACAGTATATTGCCTTGTGATTGCTCTCCCAGGTCACGAAAAAACATTTTTCTATAAAAGTGATTAGATCTGTATTTAAATGCACAATTTTGCTATAGAGGGCTCCTTAAAAAGTCATATTTAAATTAAAAACATCCGAACACTTAATGTTATTTTAGTCTTTTGGGCATTTTGAACATGAGTTTTAAACCTATTTCATAATGGACCATAAGATAAATTGCCTTCTTAAGCTCTGTTTTTTACAAACATTTGTATTTCTTGAAATAAAATATTCTTTAGGATTCCAAACAAAAAATGAATGATTACCATTCAAGCTGCAGAAACATAGAAAATGTCAGTTGAAAATTAAAAATTTGTTGTAATGTTATTTGTTTCATTTAACATGTAGTGACATGTTATTTGGGTTAAATTTTCTTTTCTGTGGGGTATATCACCACCAGGTAATTTCTTTCCCCCACACTGGTCACAGATTTTCCTCCTTCATATTAGGATCAATGAGGTGCTCGATCTAAACAAATTGAACACATGCACACTTTGTATTAATACAGCCAGTTTGGAATTTTGCTGCTTTTTACTCAGACTTTTGCATTTGGGGACTCATAATAGAGCAAGGTGGGCATAGTCCAGGTTGTCCTTAAACTTTTTTCCCTGATTACATTTTTATTGGGGGGGTTTCTATTTGGGTGTAAGATGAAGAAAAGTAGGAATGTGTTATTTCCCAAAACAAAACCTTACATTTTCATGTTGAAGTTTTCATTACATTTTAAAAACCTGTCTCAGCCCTACAGCCCTTAGGGAGTCCTTACCCCACCGCAAAGCACAGGTAGTGACACCAGCACCGAGCATTGTTGATCTGCTGTCTTACAGAGTTCCTGGCTCAGCTCTTTACGGACTCGGGTTATGAAGAAGTGGTGAATGAGTATGTGTTTCGTGAGACGGTGAACAAAAAAGAAGGTCTGTGTGTGCCAAGAGTTTTCCTTCAGAGCAAATTCCGAAAGTCTCCAAAGAGCCCAACTCCTGTGACCCTGGGCCCGGGGCACAGGTCCTGACCTTTCTTTCACAAGGTTGACTTTTATGCCTCCTCTTGAAGAGGAATGTTTAATGTCATTCTTTTTATTTTCTATATTTTTATATCTTAACTTCTTCAATGAGTATATATACCTTTTGTATTAAAAAGTAGCGTGTAAAAAAAACGCATAAAAAGAGTGTGTGTGTGTGTGTGTGTGTGTGTGTGTGTGTGTGTGTGTGTGTATTATAGAAATGCGAAAGCAAATAAAATTGCAAGGTCTAAAAAGTAAAGGAAGTCTTATGGTGTAATTGAGCCATGTTGTCCGACTGTAAAAGTCCCTGTAGAAAAGCTTAAGGGCCCTCTTGCACTTAGAGATCTTTATTATTCTTATGTTACTCACGTGAGTCTGACACGCGCAGCGTGTCCGACAACCCCATAGAACAAATTAGGCCAAACAGAGCAAAATAACACATCCATGTGTATTTTTAGCCTGAAGGTTTGTTCTTCTCTTTTTCTAGTGTCTCATATTTGCTCATTTTTCTCCGCTTCAGTTCACTCATGTGTCTCTTCAAGACCAGTGTTCCACAAATGCTACTTTGCTGTGTCTCAAGAACCCACTGTGGCTCCCGGCCTAATTTTTAAAAATTTAATTTATTGATTTGAGAGAGAGAGAGACATCGATTTGATGTTCCACTTAATTATGCATTCATTGGTTGATTCTTGTATGTGCCTGACTAGGAATCAAACTCACAACCTTGGGGTATCAGGACAACACTCTGACCAACTGGAGCTATCTGGCCAGGTCTTAAGACCTCTATAATTGGGCCAGTCTTTGCCACACTACCCCAAGGGAGAGAAGGGAAGGCCACCACCTTGGCCCTCCTCCTCCCCTCATCTGCCCAACGCAGTTTCTCCAGAAATATGGTGGATGATCTGTCCCACCTCCCTGTGGGAAATGAGGACATAGTGGTTAGGAAGTAAATGACTGACATGGCCAGAATCACATAGCTAGTATTTGGTAGAATAGCGGAAAATCCTGAAATTGGTCTGCTGACCTGTTCCCAAGCATTCTCATATAATGACTTTTACTGTATGAAAAATAATCCAAGTTCTTTTGGCCTGCTAACTAAAGGTGATCCTGTAAGCCCTTGTGTTTCACTTTTTGGAGGAAGCTGTTTATGAGAGCATTTGTCTTGGGCATATTGACTGGACTATACATGCGGCAATCCAGGGCCTTAAACCCCAACCACATCTGAAGAGGAGGGGTCTCAGTGGGAGGGGCTGGGTAATAGTCATAGCTTCCTGCACAATTGGAATAAGTCCTCCTGGCAGTGGGTCTCAGGCAGGAAGCTTGCTGGACATCGTAACTGCCACCTGTCCTTGACTTTCTAGGAGGGGCCTAGGAGTGGGGGAAGCAAGAGGAACTCCTATATTCTCTGGCTGGCCTGTTGCTTTATATATTCTCTCCCCTTCTTTTGAAGGCTGGAAGATGGCTACACTAGGTGAGAGCAAAACTGATCATAGTACAGAGTCTGTCCTTTGCAGTGTTTTTTTCTTTGAAATCAACTTGTAAAGATGGGCCTATAGGATAGATGCTCATGGTCCTTACAGAGTGAAAGTCTTTACAGACAGAAAACAGCCCCAGGAAGGAAGTGAGTGCTGCTTAGCAGTACTATAGAAAATAGCAAAGCCCTAGCTGGGTTGGCTCAGTGGATAGAGCGTCGGCCTGCAGACAGAAGGGTCCTGGGTTTGATTCCGGTCAAGGGCATGCACCTCGGTTGTAGGCTCTTCCCCGGCCTACGCCCTGGTCAGGGCTCGTGCAGGAGGCAACCAATCGATGTGTTTCTCTCACATCGATATTTCTCTTCCCCTCTCCCACTCTCTCTAAAAATCAATGGTAAAATATCCTCAGGTGAGGATTAAAAACAAACAAACAAACAAAAAAAAAGAAAATAGCATAAGTACTCGAGTACCATATATATCAGTGATGGCGAACCTATGGCACGTGTCAGAGGTGACACGCGAACTCATTTTTTTGGTTGATTTTTCTTTGTTAAATGGCGTTTAAATATATAAAATAAAAAAAAATATAAATCTTTGTTTTACTATGGTTGCAAATATCAAAAAATTTCTATATGTGACACGGCACCAGAGTTAAGTTAGGGTTTTTCAAAATGCTGACACACCGAGCTCAAAAGGTTCGCCATCACTGATATATATCATGTAGTATATACTCCATATAGTCTAGGCCAGCGGTTCTCAACCTGTGGGTCGAAACCCCTTTGGGGGTCGAATGACCCTTTCACAGGGGTCGCCTAAGACTATCAGAAAACACATATATAATTACATATTGTTTTTGTGATTAATCACTATGGTTTAATTATGTTCAATTTGTAACAATGAAATTGGGGGTCACCACAACATGAGGAACTGTATTAAAGCGTCGTGGCATCAGGAAGGTTGAGAACCAGTGGTCTAGGCTATGTATTATACCACACAGTATATACCCTATACTATATAGTGCTATGCATTCCTTGTGAGTTTTTTATATGTACTGTGTGATATAGTACAACAATATTAATAAATGATAGAATTGGGAGTATGGTTAGGACTTGCCTAATTCAGGTCTCCAACTTCTCTGAGCCTCGGTCTTCACATCTCTGAGGCTGAGATCCTACTACCTACAGCACAGGGCTGCTGCCAACATTAAATCACGGGGGAGTGCTTTATTTACTACAAAGTGCCAAGGAAGTGCTAGTGATTTCTGTCAGTTTGTGTTCTCCAAGAAAATGACCTCTCCCATGATTGTCATTAAATCCAAACTCCTCTCCAAGAGGGCTGTCCTTTTGAAAATCTTGGCGTCCTTGAAAGGGCCCAGGATTTGCATGTGTCACCACAAGGTGGCACTAGATGCCCAATATGCCCATTGGCCTCAACACCCATCTTAATTAGTTACACATGTCCATTTTTATTGTCATTGAAGAGGAAGGGAAATGCTCACAAATGTGTTTTCTAGGTCAACTTTAGCTCATAATATCAGTGTTGGCCTCACTGAGGATAAAGCAAGGGATATTTTATCCAGCATTCAACCTACTTTGCCTACTGAAGGTAGTTTGCTCTCAACTAAATTTGGGCAACATTGTAAGGCCATGGGCTCTGAAGGTTTCTGCAAGGCCCCCACCCGAGGCACATAGGGGAGCACCAATCAAGGACCCTTTCTTGAGGGTAAATAAAGCATCCCTTGGCACCTCCCACATCCCTAAATGTTTCTGTGCAATTGTTTTTATTATTGCTCAGGATTAAGGCAGAGCAAGAGAAGGGAATGCAGCATGGATACTTGCTTGCCTCACACATTATTCACAGTCACATTTGATAGCGCTTGATTCCCTATTTCACAGTTGTCAACCAAGGAAGGGAAAATTGTGAAATAAATCATGAATACCTTGCAGAACCATGTTGGGGAGCAAATATTTAAACTTCACTAGGCTCTGCTAAAACCAAAAGTTCCATTAAAAAAAAAATTAGCTTTTTTTTTTTTTTTTTTACTTTTTCTTTCTGCCCTTCTCAAATGTGTAGTATTTCATTAAACAGTGTTCGAAAGGTACTAGGCACAGGGTACTGTGGGGTCACTGGCAGGAGTACAGGCTGGGGGAAAGAGGGGAAGAGGCAGGTTAGCATGGGCACATACTAAGATGTAGGGAAGCGGCCCCAGCCACTATAACAAAGTAAATAGCTAGGAGACCAAACAGAAACCCCCAGAACCCCAGAGGAATGAAAAAGAGGAAGGAAGACTACAGAAAACCACAGCGGGACAACTGTCACTGTCATTTGGAAAGGATATTTCCACATTTTTCCAGTAGAGGTGTCATGCTCCAGTGTGGGGCATGGCCACGGAGGTGAGACCATGACGCACAGCTCCTAGGGCAGTGGTTCTCAACCTTCTGGCCCTTTAAATACAGTTCCTCATGTTGTGACCCAACCATAAAATTATTTTCGTTGCTACTTCATAACCGTAATGTTGCTACTGTTATGAATCGTAATGTAAATATCTGATACGCAGGATGGTCTTAGGCGACTGTGTGAAAGGGTCGTTCGACCGCCAAAGGGGTCGCGACCCACAGGTTGAGAACCGCTGTCCTAGGGTATCTAGATCTACAAGAAAAACATCACAACTAGTAAATGAGAATTCACAGGTAAATACAATTGCTAACAAAATGGTCAGCTCTAACTAGAAACAATTATGAATTAAATGGAGACTCCCTTTTTGGCTTGTCAAATAAGGCTTGAAATGGTAATATTTAAAGCTGATAAAGGAATAGAGAGACTGATATGGAGGAACAAAAAGTATGGTTTCTCTAAAACAGTGCTGTCCTCTAGAACTTTCTGAAATGATGGAGATGTTCTGTCTGCATTGTCCAATATGTAGCCATTGTCCAATAGTCCACATGGCTATTGTGGACTAAGTCTAGTGGTCAGTGCAACAAATAGCTGGTTTTTAAATTGCATTTAAATTTAGCTATAGCTACATGTGGCTAAGTGGCTACTATATTAAATAGCACAGGACCAGAATTCAAGTAGGCATTGTGAAGCAAATTCCATAAATCTATACATAATCTTTAATCAGTAATCCCATGTTTAGGAATCCAATTTAAGGAAATAGCCAGAGGTATTTTACAAAGATTTTATCACAGTGCTATTTAGAACAATGAAAAGGTGGATAAAGCCCTAGCTGGTTTTTCTCAGTGGTTAGAGCATTGGCCCACAGACTGAAGGGTCCTGGGTTTGATTCTGATCAAGGGCACATACCTCGGTTGCAGCCTCAATCCCTGGCCCTGGTTGGGGCTCCTGCAGGAGGCAGCCAATCACCGTGTCTCTCTCGATGTTTCTCTGTCTCTCCCTATCCCTTCCATTCTAAAAACCAATGGAGCTCTAGCCAGTTTGGCTCAGTGGATAGAGTGTCTGCACTGCAGACTGAAGGGTTCCATTCTGGTCAAGGGCACGTGCCCGGGTTTCAGGCTCGATCCCCATTGGAGGCAGCTGACCAATGGTTCTCATCATTGATATTTCTATCTATCTCTCCCTCTTCCTTTCCTCTCTGAAATCAATAAAAAATATATTTTAATAAATAAATAAATTAATTAATTAATTAAAAATCAATGGAAAAATATCCTCAGGTGAGGATTAA